TCCCTCCCGCACACCATCCGCACACCTGTCCTCCCCACCCACCCGCCACTTCCTCGTCCCTCCCGCACACCACCCGCACACCTGTGTAGGAGTCCAGCTCTCAGGACTTGCTCTGAGCTCCACACCGTGCTCTTCTTCCTCCAAGAACTCCACCGTCCTCTGGACCTGAGCTGGCCTCCCAGAACCCTCCCGGGCCTGCTGACCTGCGCAGTCCTAGCCTTGCCCCTGTGGGAGTGCTCAGCAGCCTCTGTGGCAGGGGAGAGGAAGGTCGGGCCGGTCTGCTGCTGTGGGTGGCCAGTGAGGGTGTCGTGCTTCTCTGGCTGCCATTGTGGGCTGTGATTTGGGCTCCGTTTGGGGTCTGTGCTGGCCTGGCTGAGGCCACAAGGGCCCCTGATGGCGCCGCCCCTTTGCCTGTAGCACACACCAGGGCCCCTCGAGTCTTCCCTGCTGGACGAGGCCATCGAGGCCGTGGCGACTGGCCTGAGCACTGCCGTGTATCAGCGCCCCCTGACACCGCGCACTCCCGCCCGGCGAAAGAGGAGGACAAGTAAGCCTAGCGGGAGGGACTCTCTGCAGCCCCTCGGGGGGCCCACGCCCGGGGTCCACTCACTGCTTCCCTCGCAGCCAGGGCTGTGGGCATTTCTGTTTCTTCTTTCTGCAACTTAATCTTCTTAGCTGAAAAGAAAACATGACACAAGCCCACCAAGGCCAGGAGGTGTGGGTCTGACCTTCAAGTCTGCAACCTTGCTGCCTCTGGCGTTTGTGCCAGGGTGATGCCAGCCTTCCCAAATTGTTCCCCTCTGCTTTTTGGAAGGATTGCTTCCTAAGATTTATGGAGGCAGTCTTCTTGTTTTTGCTGTGTGTGTCAGAATACACCCCTGAAGCCATCTGGGGCTGGGCTTCTCTGTGTGGGCAGAGTTGCGATCTGTAGTTCAGCGGCTTGTCTTGCTTCTGTTCCGCTCAGGTTTCCAGTCCTTTTCTCTGAGTTTTGTAGTTTTGTCCCAGTGCTGGTTAACTTTGATGACTTGGTTAGCAGGGGTCCACTGTGAAGTTACTAATCCTCCCTTGAATTGATGGGCAGCTCCTGAGGAGAGCCATGGAGACTGTAGGTTGTCAGATGCTCCCTGGTGGTGGTGCGCCCCGGTGGGTTTGGCCCTCAGAAGGAGCATCCTCTCTTCCCCGTGGCGGTGACTGAAGTCACTGTGGACTCATGCGCTCCCGGCTTCCTCAGGGTTTCTACTCTGTGATTAGAATTGTGATTATTGAAGCATACATACTTTTTTTTTTGAGACAGAGTCTCTCTCTTGGGCTGGAGTACAGGGGTGTGATCTCAGCTCACTGCAACCTCTGCCTCTGGGTTCAAGCCATTCTCCTGCCTCAGCCTCCCGAGTATCTGGGATTACAGGCATCCGCCGCCACACCTGGCTGATTTTTGAATTTTTAGTAGTGACGGGGTTTCACCATGTTGGCCAGGCTGGTCTAGAACTCCTGACCTCAGGTGATCCACCCACCTCGGCCTCCCATGGTGCTGGGATTTCAGGCAGGAGCCACCACGCTGGCCTGAAGCATGCATACTTACTAGGTAAATGCACCCACTGTAGCGTGTAGTTCTGGGTCTGCCAAATCTAACTTCCACTCCAGCCAGCACAGGCACAGTTACAGACCACGCGTCCGGCCCCACAGCAGCCCTGCGGCCATATGCATCTCTGTGTCAGTTGTGCTGGTTCTGGGGCTCCGGAGGACTCGGCGTCTGTGGGTCCGCTGTGGGGGCTCCAGCTCGCTGCTCCTTTTGCTCAGTGCAGCGTTCTGGGAGTCTCCGATGGTCTGTGTCTGTGGCTGTCACTGAGAAGTATTTCATTGTATGAATATACCGTTTGTCCTGTTGGTGGGTGTTTGGGTTGATTTGAGTGTTAGGGTGTTAAGGATAAAGCCGCGGTGGCTGTCACAGCACAGTTCCTTCTGTGGGCAGACGTTCTCATTCCTATGAAGTGAAATGCAGAGGGCTGGTAATGCGTTTACGCAGAGGAGTAGAGCAGTCGGCTCATCCGGTAAATGTGCGTTTGACTCTGGAGAGAGTTGCCAAACCAAGGTCACTGCGCCAGTTTCTAATCCATTGGCAACACGGAACAGCTGCAAGGTCAAGTTCTCCAAGGTCACTGCGCCAGTTTCTAATCCGTTGGCAACACGGAAGAGCTCTGGCGATTCCCCATTCTGTCGGTAACACTCAGAACTCCTGAGTTTTATTTTGCCTACCATTGGGCATGTGGAGCGCCTCCAGGGGCTGGAAGCCCTTCTGTGGACCCTGCTGGCCCTGCGTCCTGCACGTGGGG